CTCACAAGCCAGAGTCCCTGGGGAGCTGCTTTGCTGCCCAGGACTGTGACCCTGCTGTAGGGCTTCTGCCTCCCTTCCCCAGCCCCCTCCCTCTGCGTCTTCCTCCCTTGGAGCTGGGAACAACATGAAGAGCCAGTATTTTGAGCCATCTGAAGGGGCAGAAGCAGCTGCTAAGACAGACCAAGGAGCACAGATGCTCCAGGACACCAGACAGTAAAGGGCAGGCATCCTGTCCTTAAAATACTTTGGCTTCCAGCGAGAATTTATAGGGGTGCCACGAGATGATGGGAGAGCAGACAGAAAGGCAGCCCGAGGAGGTCCTTCTTCCCCAGCTTTGCTGCCCACAGGCAGGGGCAGAAGTGCTATATTGGGTTCTCCTGAAAGCCCCAGCAGCAGCTGCAGCCGCTGGTGCGCGGGGGCTCCCTCCGGCCGGCCTCTCCTGCCCTCTACTTATGAGGGCGATGGAGCCTCTAGCTGGTTATTTTTGCCGAAGCCCAAATTCTTGTTTTCCTCCTCAGGACCATTTGGGATAATGGCTGGCTGCTGGTAAAGGCTGAGCATAACCTTTTCAGCAACAAGGGCTGAAGTGCCCTGCTTGGCAAGAGCAGCTTGGTGCCTGTTTATAAACCTCTATTGTCCTTGTTCTCTCTTCTTTTCAGCCTTAATGTCAGTGTTACCTAGAAACAGTCCTTTGCTCTTACCCTGGACCAACTGGCAGGCTGGGAACTTCCCAGGCAGCTTTTTCTCTCCCGTGAAAGCTGTGCTGTGACTGCAAACTAGTTCATGGCCACCAGTTGTCATGGATGTCACTGGGAGCCCCCACCCTCCTCACTGCCCTGGTGAAGCTGGGATGGTCCAGAGGGGAAGCAGGGCAGCAGCACCCAGCAGGGATGGCACAGGACAAGGTGCCCAAGCCCACTAAGCCCCCAACCAGGCTGTATCCAGCTGGGGGAGCCCAGGAAAAAAAATCTCCCCCACTGCCAGAGGCCATAGTCCGCCTGCGAGCCGGTCCCTGGCTGCAGCCTGGCCTGGTAACACATCTCCAGCCACCCCGTCCCCGTTCGTAGCACCCCAATGGGTCTGGGGTTGAGCTGGTTGCTAGTGAAACAGACTGCTGCTGAGGCGAGTGAGGATTAGCGACAAATAGCACTAACTGTATATACACATCTCCTGCAGCCCTCATCCAGACCAGAGTCCTCAATGCCTCGCCAGGTCTGGGACCAATTTAACGGGGACTATAGAAACATTCTCCTGCTGGTGAATGCTTCTACAGTGGAAAGAAAAACGGCATTTTCCCACAGTGGTTCGCTGTTTTTGTACACTTTCCTGCACGTCCCCTGGTCTCGGTGTACAATATCGTGCCTGTTTTGGGGCTCGCTGTGTTTTCCTCTGCCTGCTCCAGCAGAGCAGCTGTGACTTTTCAAACTGCGGTTGCTTCATACTTCCGACCTCTGCGAGGGGATGTGTACACAGCAGTATTTCAGGGGGCTGGTGGGATGTGGCCCAGCTTTTTGTCTAGCTTTCTGGCTGGCTTAGCCATCTCCATCTGCTCGGGGGAGAGCTTAAGGCAGCATAGAGTTGTGCATGGATCTGGTCTGGAGCAAGGAAGAACACGAGGGGACCAGTCCACGTTCTCTGCTTGTTGTGTTTCTTTATTCCCTCAGACTCTCTGCCTGCAAAAGGAGGGAGCAGCAGCCCCAGACTCTACATTGGGGCCCTTCAGGTGTTCTTGCTGGGTCTCTCCACCCTCCCACAAGAGCATGCCCACAGCCACACGCCCCAAGCAGTTAAAAGGCTGAGGTCAGATCCACGGCATCCAATGCAGAGGCAGGGTTTTAGTAAACCATTTCTGAGCAGGGCTGTGCAAAGATCCCGCCCTGAGCCGTGCACGGGCAGTCAGGCTGGAGCAGGTCGTGCAGGGGCTCATGGCAACAGCGTTGTTCGTGCCCTGCCATCCCCCTGTGCTCATTTCTCCCCTGCCTCCGTGCATCCCCCGACTCCATCTGGTCTTTACCTTCCAGCAGTGCCCCAGCATGGCGGGGGGGCCTGCGCTCTTCCCCGCCTCTGCGCTTGCTCTCTCTGTGCTGGGGCTTTGCAGCACGACAGGAATGAATTTGCCTTCCCCTCCCCCTGCTCCCAGATCTGGACTGTCGGATGCGCTTCGGCGTTGATTTGCTTCATGCTCGGCTTCCTAGAGCCATTTTGCGGTACTGCAAGGGAGGGATTTTCTTTCTCCTCTCTTGTGCTCTGCTCCCTCAGTAAACCTGGGTGGAGAAATATTGGGGGCAGGGTTTTAAATACAGTGGACAAAAAAATATATTGGATTTCCCTTAATGCATTACTAATGGTTGTGACTGTACAATATGTTTGTAATGGGCTGCTGGGGTGGGGGGGGAAGTGTTTTACTGTGGAGGCAGCAGCCCAGCCGGGGAGGGGGCGGAGCAGACAGTGTCAGACAGGCAGGGAGGGACAGGCAGCCCCATTGCTGCCGAGGGCAGAGGAGAGGTTGTCCTACCCTGGCCAGCCTCCAGCCCCAAATCCCAAACCTTTAACCACATCAGATGGAAACCAGATTTTGATGCCGGCTGTGCTGTGCTCCCCAGCACACAGGTTGCAGCCATCCCGTGGAATGTTCTCAATGAAAGGGAATGAGGGGTGGGGGCGAAGGATGACGGCACCGAAGTCTGGATTTGACACCCAGCAAAAGCCTTTCGGGGCTGCTGGGGTTTGGGGTGAGCTCTGGTTGGCACTAACCACCTGCCTTTCTCTTTTGCCCCCTCCTCTGGTGTCCTCCACAGAAGCTGGTGATGGCAACTCGACCCTGGGTGGCGGGACTGGCACCATGGGGCTGAGCGCCCGCTATGGCCCCCAGTTCACCCTGCAGCACGTCCCCGATTACAGGCAGAACGTCTACATCCCGGGCAGCACTGCCACCCTCACCAACGCTGCTGGCAAGCGCGATGCCAAGAGCGCCGGCTCCTCGGGAGGCAACAAGAAGAAATCCGGGAAGAAGGAGAAGAAGTAGAGAAGAAGAAGGAGACCTTAGAGCTACAGGGCAGCCTGCTCCAGCACTCCCCCAAACCCAGGCCAGAGGACGAATGTCAATTTTTTGTGAAGCAAAAAGTGTGAAATGCTGCGAATGTATCTCATCATCATCAGAGCTAGGAGCAGGGTCTTGCTGCTGTTAGATCTCATGATGAAAACCAATCCGGAAGCTAAACTGAATGCAAATAAGTGCCCTGTGAATACTTGCTAATGTTTTATACGATCCCTTCGGTATTAGAATATGCAAGGGCAGAAGGTCTTCTGCTATGTCTTTGGATCCGATTTTCTCCCAGATAGTCAGAGAAAGGCACAAGGCTAGCGCTCGGCTTTGCCCAGTGTAAATAATTTTGATGCGGATCTTTTAATTTATAGACCTTCAATCATTTTTTTGGAAAGGAAAAGGCAGTTCCTAGCTTACAGCCCGTGCTCTAGATCTTTGCTTTTAAACTTTCCATTAGTAAAATTCACACTTAGTTAATGATAGCGATGGATTCGTTGCTGAGAAGTTGGAAGGGAGTGCTTCAGTTCCTCCTTACCTATTACTCAGAAAAAAAAAGTGTTTATATTGCATGAGTCAAAGGGAATACGGCAAAGCTGCATCCTAACATTTATTTTTTTTTTAAAAGTGCAACCACCGATGGCCTGAAATATGAGACAAAAAATGAAACCTTCCTGATGTTTGAGAGGTAGGGAATTCAATGAGGAGCGTGCCGAGGTGCACGGCAGCCGCCCCAGCAGTTCTAGGGGTCTCTGAAGAGCAGACACATCTCATCCCTTCTTTGCAGTAAATATTTATATGTACAGTCAACGTTCTTCTGAAATTAAAGCTAAGAAAGTCTTGCTCCCCTGCGGCCAGGCTCCTTCAGGCAGCCATATGGCCTAGTCCCTGTCGAGGGGACCGGGGGATGATGCTTCACGTTTCTGCACACCGCGTCTGCATGCACATCCTTCACCTCGCACCCGCACTAGTGCAGTTAGCTCCACGGGCCCAGCACCCGCGCAGCGTGGTGTGAACGCACCGGCAGCTGCCCGAGCCTCCCTGCTGGGGCTGCCTTGGGGGAGATCGGTCAAGTGGGATGGGGAGACTCATTGCTTATTGTCTGGGGTGTGGACCCCAAGTGAGGGGGTTTTTTTGGGGGGGGTCTCACTGAAAGGGGTGAGATCCACGGAGCTGCTGGCACATGGCTTTGGTGCAGAGTTGGTGACCGAGTAAGTGACAGTTGGTTTGGTGGTGCCTGGGGACCAGACCCAGAGGAGGGACCTGAGAGCTGGGGGTGAGCGCGGGGTGATGCTGCAAAGCCAGTGAGCCAGGGTGACAAGGGAGAGGGACACATGGGACCATGCCACGCCAGCCTGAAGCGGGTGATGCTCTCACTGCCTTTGGGCTTTCCACCCCGTGGAGGGAGTCAAAGGACGAGGAACAGAGTTTCTCCACATGCCCGTCACCCTTGCACTGGGACGCCTTCCCTTATCAAAGCAGCTCTGAGCCCCCCAGGGAGGCAGAGGGGGGGTTTGTGTAGCCCGGGGGAGGAGAGGGACTGTGGAGCAGCCAGGAAGGGGCCGCGTCGGGTTTCCCGAGGAGTGTTTGTGTTGTTTTTTTCCCTTTATAATCACTAACTCGTAACTCACCCGAGCAGATCCAGCCCTCTCAGCCAGGCTCTGGCATGGCAGCAGTCACCCCACCTCCATCCCCTCCCCAGACCCAGGGCAGCAGGAGCATCCGCCGTGTTTCATCCAGGTCCGGCCAGCTCTGGCACTGGCTGTGCTGGGAGCGGTTCCCACCCTGTCCCCTGCAGCTGCCACCTGCCCCCCTGTAGAAATGCTGTAGCTGAATCGTAGTCTTTATATTTCTTTTTAATCTGCAATCTGAGGTAGTGTAGTGAGTGTCGTGTATTTAGTGGCGTGTTATTTTTAATCTCAGTAACTAACTTGTGGACACCAGTATTTTCAATTTTCTCTGTATCTTCTTTCCATGTGGTCTGTGCTCCGAGTGTACGTGAAATGAAACACGTTTGCCCTTTCAATGTGTCTAATATTGAATTATACTTATATATTATATATATGCTTATATTGTTCTTATACCCATATAGACCAATGTCGATGTGTTACACGCAAGTTTTATACTCTAATATTTATATTGCTTTTTTTCTTTGGAAAAAAAAAATAATAAAATGGTTTCTTCTGAATGAATGGTATTTACTGCGATGGGAAGAGGGAGGCACAGCTAGGGCCTGTCCATCCCGATGCTGCCGCTCTGCCAAGGCTGCTGGCGGGGCGGGCCAGCCGGGCTCCGGCAGCGGGGATGCTCTTGGGGAACCCCCATCTCGGGTCCCCCAGGCCTCTGGGCGGAGGGTGACATGGCCGTGGGTGGCACCGGTGTGCTCCCGGCTGGCATTTTTGGGGAAGGGCGTGTCAGAGCCTGGCACACTCCACCGAGGAGACCACAACGTCCACAGCTACAGCCCCTTCCCCAGCCCGCAGGGGATCCAGTTGCCCTACCCCATCCCTGGCAGGGATCCGGTCACCCTTCCCCAAGCCCGGGGGGATCTGGTGGCTCTTCCACAGACCCAGTGGGGATCGATCACCCTCCCTCATCACCAGCAGGGATCCAGTCTCCCTCGTCCAGCCCCGGGGCGATACGCTTTCCGTGGAGCTCGGGCACCCCAGTCTGTGCGTGGGGTGGGAGGATGGGGTGGGGGTGGTCGAGCGCTGTGCCCGGGGACCCCCCGCGGCCAGAACGAGC